GGCTCCGGCAATCCTCTCACCTCGGCCTCCCAAAGTGCTGGGATTATAGGCGTGAGCCACTGCAGCCAGTCTGATATATTAAATTTTAAAGAGATGACTAGATTCTAAGAACTTCTTCTGTGAATGGATGAATATGTTAGCTTCTTTTATGTTCGGGCTGAATCCTCTGGCATTCCCTCATGATTTTTTTGCACAGAATCAATAGTGCACATCTCATTTGGGCATCTCTGGTAATGTTTGTACAGTACTTCAGTGCTTGACCCCAAAATAGTTTAAACTGCCATTAATCTGGCAAAGCATAGTTAAATGATACCCTCATTTTTAAAAATTAACTTAAAATTCATCTCCATGAGTCACCCTAAGTCCATGGTTTATAGCAGTATATCTTCCATTTGGTCCTCCTAGATACTGTCCTTAAGAATTGAGCCTACTTTGTCTGCAGTTTTGGTCTCCCTGAAGCCCTTTTCCTAAACAGAAATGGCATTGTAAGATTCCAGTGAGAAAATAAGTTAGTCTTTTGTCAGCATCTATTTTTCCTTACTGGGGAACAAGACTATAAACCTGTAGTTACCAGTGTGATATAGGTACCCAGATATACAGAGCTTCAGCTCTTTTTCAGTTTTTAAAATGAATTTCATAGAAGTCCTTAGTCTGGAAATGGTCATGCTATAAATGAAATAAGTTGTGGACTGGCCAGGGAAGTTAACAAGCTGTTCTTTCTACCTCTGACCTTGTTATTTTTATTTTTTATTTTTTGAGTTGGAGTCTCACTCTGTTGCCCAGACTGGAGTGCAGAGGCACAATCCTGGCCACCGCAGCCTCCACCTGCTGGGCTCCAGCAATCCTTCCAGCATAGCCTTCTAAATAGCCGAAACTACAGGCACGCACTACCACGCCCAGCTAATTTTTTATTTATTGTAGCGACACAATCTCGCCAAGTTACCCGGGTGGGTCTCAAACACACGGGCTCGGGCAATCCACTTGCCTCAGCCTGCCAAAGTGCTGGGATTACAGGCTGAGCCACCAAGCCCAACCTTACTGCTGACCTTTAAAGAAGCAACCTGTATCCTCATGATGGAGCAGCGGAGCAGTACTGCCCCTCTTCTATTTCATGTGGCTTCTGGGCCTCAGGAGAAATTATTCTTCTGAAGAAGAGAAAGGCAGCAATAGTGCTCTGTAGAAAGAATTTTTTCCTATAGAGGACACAGACACACTAAAAATGTACCCAAGAAGGCAACCCAACAAACCCAGAGAGGTAGCAAAGTGGCTGCTGTTACTGCCCATATACTACTCTTCTGGCCAACCAGTCACCCCAAAGAAGATCCAGGGGTTAAAACTTCAAATTACCTATCATTGTACTGCTGCATGTTCTTCCTTCCTCAGACTCCTTATCCAGACCAAGACGAACAGTGTTCACTAGAGCCATTGAGGGCCGAGAATTACATTGGCAAGACAGCCACCTACAGCGAATAATCAGCAGTGATATTTATACAGCTCCTGCCTGCCAACGGGAAAGTGAGAGACTACTCTTTAATTCCCAAGGCCAGCCACTGTGGCTTGGTAAGTCTAGCCCTCCTCTAATCTAAGAATTTCAGAGCTCAACCTCACCTCATGCCAGGCCCAAATGAGCCATCTGCATAGGTGCAAGCAACTCCAAGTACAGTTTGGACAGTCTTCACACATATCTTTGGGGCCTTTACTAGGGACTCAGGATTTGTCTGAAGTCTATGCCATTACTCAGCTGAGGTACAGCAACCTCAAGTAGGAATTTATATCCCGTCCTTTAGGCGTTGGGAGGGGAAAGTAGTTAATCATCTCAAAGAGTACTAATAAAGCAATTAGACCAGGTTCTGAGCAACATTATATTCTACTCTGAAATTATATGTTTTGCTAAAAAAAGCACTAAATTTGAAACTTAAATTACTCTGTGTTAGTAAGTAGGACACAATCTGCATTTGTCACCAAACTGTCTTCCTTTCCTTCTTCCCACATTTCTACCTTACTTCATCATAAAAGGCTAGAACTGTTTTTCATTGTGAGTTTAAACTCTCCTCTGAAATAGTTTACTGAATTTCCCTCATTTAGTCTATCCTTGGCTTTATCACAGGATACCCATTCTGAAATAGACAATCTTTTTTAAATATTCATTTTCTGAGTTTTACAGCAATGATACACATTTTCATTGTCTTCTCCCAATTCCCTACCTTCATCTCTCACCCCATATTCTCATATTTTTTTCTTTTGTCTTATGTCAAGATCTTGCTAAATCTGGATATGTCCCTGTCTGTCTCTTTGAAAACTGTAGCCAAACACACGGTGGGTTATCACCTGAAGTTCCCTTTGATCATTTTTCCTTTTCTCTAATCCACCTCTTCTAAAACATAAATCTAGCAGCATGTGAAAAAAGTGTACATCTCATTAATAACCAAAGAAGCAAATAAACAACACCAAGTTATCATTTTTTGGTTGTCAAATGGTCAGGGGTTCTTGAAATAAAGATAGTTTCTGGTGTGGGAGAAGTTACATGGAGATAGGTACTCTCATTTACTACTGGTAGGAGTATAAATGCTTACAACCTTTTTGAAGGGTATTTTTAACCAAAAGCCTTTAAAATACATTCATACCATTTGATCTAGGAATTCTACATCTAGGAATTTATCCTGAGCCATAATTAACTAAGGACATGCATTATAGTTAGGGGGATTATTAGAGCATGGATAAAAATAAGATACAGATGAAAAAAATTGGAAACCATTTATATGTCCGACAATTGTGGATTGATTAACTCAGTGGATATACACATATTCAGTACAATTATATGTCATCCTTTTTTTTTTTTTTTTTTTGAGTCAGAGTGTCACTCTCTCCCAGGCTGGAATACAGTGACATGTTCATAGCTACCACAGCCTCAACCTGCTGGGCTCAGGTGATCCTTCCTCCTCAGCCTTCCAAGTAGCTGGGACTACAGACATGTGCCATCATGCTTGGCTAATTTTTTGTTTTATTGTAGAGACAAGGTCTCGCCATGTTGCCCAGGCTGGTCTCGAACTCTTGGGCTCAGGCAATCCTCTCACCTTGGCTTCCCAAAGTGCTAGGATTACAGGCGTGAGCCACCACGCCTGGCTTGCAATAATTTTTAATCTTATAGAAGTATATTTAGCCAGGCACGGTGGCTTCTAGCTACTTGAAAGGCTGAGGTGGAAGGATCGCCTAAGCCCAGCAGGTCAAGGCTGCCGTGGCCATGAGCATGCCACTGCACTTCAGCATGGGTGACAGAGTGAGACTCTGACTCAAAAAAAAAAAAAAAAAAAAATATATATATATATATATATCTAATAACATGGAAAAATATTTACAAAATGCTACTAAGTGGAAAAGCCAGATATAAAACAATAATTTTAATACCATCCCATTTTTAGTAAAAATTTAACAGAATAGTCTGGGTAAATATACATAAAACTAGAAAGAGTAGTTATCTCTGATTTTTATTTTATACTTTTATCTTTGCTTCCAGGTTTTTTTTTGCAATTACTTCTATAAGGTTATCTTTAAAAGAAATTAAAAAATAAAGCATAAATCTAATTTATTATAATCACTCACTGAGTTATAAACTTTTGATAGTCTTCCGTTATCTCTAAGGTAAATTCAAAGTCCATAGAATGGCATTCAAAGCTCTTTACATCCCAGACTCTACCTTTCCAGGCTGTCTTTAGCCATAAAACATAACTGTAGCTACATGGAACTATTTGCCATACTCTGAAGATGCTGCATCAAGTACTTCTTATGCTTTTACTTATATGCCTTTGCTAATATGTTTCCTTTGCCAGGCATGCCTTTCCCTGTTTGTCTACCTATTTAAAATCTTGCTTGACTTTCAAAGCACATCTCAAGTATTATTTTCTCACTGTATATATTTCTGTCGTGTTTCTAATTATCTGTGAGCTCTTTGAGGGCAGTGAATATTTTTTAATCATCTTTGTACTTCCTTTGCTCAGCATACTACCTGGCATATAACAGGATTTCAAGAAATGTATGATTTCTTGAAATGTAGCCTCTTGAATGAGGCTTCTCCCTTTAGGAAGTTGGTTGCTACCCCCAGTGGGTTCCCCTAGTACATGTTCACAAAGAGGTACTACATTTTATTATCTTAGTTATGTGTCCTTTTCTATACCATACCACCACACTGAGGCTGCAAGGTAGCTCTTTCAAGATATCATCTGTGATTTATTCAACTTTCTTTCTTTCTTTCTTTCTTTCTTTCTTTCTTTCTTTCTTTCTTTCTTTCTTTCCTTCCTTCCTTCCTTCCTTCCTTCCTTCCTTCCTTCCTTCCTTCCTTTCTTTCTTTCTTTCCTTTCTTTCTTTCCTTTCTTTCTTTCTGTTTGAGTAAAGGTCTCACTCTGTTGCCCAGGCTGGAGCAGAGTACCACAATTATGACTCACTGCACCCTCAACCTCCTGGGCTCAGACAGTCCTTCCACCTCAGCTTCCTGGGTAATTGGGACTACAGGCGAGCACCACCAAGCCTGGCTAATTTTTTGATTTTCTATAGAGATGAGGTCTCACTGTGTTGCTCAGGCTGGTCTCAAACCCCTGGGCTCAAGCAGTCTTCCCACATTGACTTCCCAAGTGCTGGGATTATAGGCATGAGCCACCACACCTGGCCTCAACTTTTTTATCTTCAAAGATAAAAGCACAATTCCTAGCATACAGTAGATGTCAGGTTGAATTTGAAGAATAGACCGAACAGACTCTTTTTGTCAAATGTGAATTTTCCTGATTTTAAATTTTAACTAGACCAAAATATTTTCTTCTCATTTGGTAGAGCATGTGCCTACAGCCTGTGCTCGGGTGGATGCCCTGCGTTCCCATGGTTATCCAAAAGAGGCCCTCAGACTCACAGTGGCCATTATTAATACTCTGAGGTTGCAGCAACAACGGCAGCTGGAAATCTACAAGCATCAGAAGAAAGGTATAGTAATTAGGAGCCATCTAACCTCCTGCAGCCTAAGGTTGATGAGGATTCTCGGGGGATACAACGCCCAGAACTTAATTTTCATTAAGTAACATGGTATGGCAAGGGTTAGGGAATTCCAGGTCATTTCATCTACTGTGTAGAATGCCTCACTTTATAAATCTCAAATTTCCTCATCTGCAAAATAGAAATAATACCTACTTGCCTCCCTTACAAGGCAGTTAGAAGGTTCACTAAGATCTGGTATGAGAAGTTTTTTTAAAACTATAAAGCTGTATCCACATATGCATTGCCAGCAGGCTACCCAAATGCAGACCACAGGACCCTATAGCTGGCTGTTGTACTTGTGGCCAATCCTGTCAACCCAAGGCAAGATAATACGGGAAACTGTTCTTTGAGTCTCAGGGTCAAGGCCTGAAAGAGACTGATAAGGAGGCAGAGAGCAGTGTGTCTCTGTCACTTTCTAAAACTTTGACCTGCTTGTTTCCAGATTTGTTGCAGAGAGGAATCACAACCATCACAAACCTAGAAGGCTGGGTTGGCCACCCCCTGGATCCCATTGGCTGCTTGTTTCTCACTTTGACTGAGGCCTGCCGCCTGAATGATGATGGCTATCTAGATGTGTCAGGTACAGGGGTCTCCTCCTTGCCATACTCTGCTCTGCTCCCTTTTACAGCCTTTTTGGTTTTTCCCCTCTTGTCCAAACTGGGCTGCCTCTGAGAGGTTCCGTCAGGCTTCCTTTCTTTCCCATACTGTAACCTGGCCCTGTGCTACTTTTAAATTTTTTCTTGCCAGACTTCCTTGCTCCTCTCATTTCATTACCATAAATGCCTAAAGAGTATGGCCCAAGGGGAATAAGAAGAGAGAGAGGAATTTCAGTAGTCAGAGGCCTAACCTAGAGCAGTCTGAAAGTAGGAAAGAACTTCTTCCACATCGTGGTTTTGTACCAATTTTAGAAATGAGAAATAGAGGGAAATAATTTAATAGAGTCTCAGATAACCAGAACTAGAAAAAGACAGAATTGATTCTTCTTTTCTTTATGCCATCACTATGCGGTATACATACATCTACTTTAGTATTTACCATGTCGTATTGCAAGTATCTCTTACTAGACTATCAGCTGCTTGAAAGCAGAAAATTATGGCTTCCTTATCTTTGTGATCCTAGCACTTAGTGCAAGGCCTTTTTTTTTTTTTTTTTTTTTGAGTTGGAGTCTCACTCTGTCACCCAGACTGGAGTGCGGTGACCGGGAGCGGCCACCGCAGCCTCGACCTGCTGGGCTCCGGCGATCCTTCCGCCTCAGCTTTCCAAGTAACTGGAACTACAGGCACGCACTATCATGCCCGGCTAATTTTTTATTTATTGTAGAGATGAGGTCTCGCCAAGTTGCTCAGGCGGGTCTAGAACCTGTGGGCTCAGGCAATCCACTCACCTCAGCCTCCCAAAGCACGGGATTACAGGCTGAGCCACCGAGCCCGGCTGCAGGGCCATTTAATAGTCTACCTATTGGATGGATGAAGGAGAACAGAAAAGAAGCCAAAACTCTGACTTTTAAACCGTGCTCTTTTCCTGAAATTGTGAACCCAGTAGTGGAACATATAAGATAATAATAAAATAGAAGTTGCATGTGTTACAAAAATGAAAACTTAACTGAATGGATCCAGATTTCTCTAGATAAAGATATAAGGATTGGCTCCAGGCCAAGTGAGGGCTGCCCTTATGTTCTCTCTTATCCCCTGCGAAGAGAATCATCATCATCTTTGGTATATTTAATATGTACAACAGTGACATTTATATCTTAGAAATCTGAGGTTACATATGGGTTTATTAATTCACTACTGACACATACTTAGCTCCTTCTATATGCCAGGCCTTGGCAATACCTAGAGCAACTAGATGGTCTTATCCCTTTAAGGTGCTTACACTCTAGTGAAAGAGTCAGATACAAAAACAGACAATTAGGGCATTGTATAATGTGCTAGTAAAAGATAAGCATAAGATTTTATACTTCCCCAATTGGCCTAGTCAGTTCATATATTAAGAAAGAGGTGAGAATCTTTGTAACTTTATGTAATCTTTTTTCATCATATTTTCCTTACTGTTCTGGGGTTCTGATTCAGCTTCCCTATGATAGCTCTTGACCAAGCTGTATCCCAAAGGTGGGAGGGAGAGAAAGACAGAAGAATCAACCAAGCCTGACCTAAAGAACCTGGTGCCCTGTTGCCCTCAGATATGAATGAAAGCAGACCCCCTGTGTACCAGCATGTTCCTGTGGCTGCAGGCTGCTCAAACAGCAGTGAGTCCTACCTTTCATTGGCCCTGGAAGTTGCTCTGATGGGCATGGGCCAACAAAGGGTAATGCCTGAAGGCCTCTACGCACAGGACAAGGTGTGCCGTAATGAGGAGCAGCTCCTGAGCCAACTCCAGGAGCTGCAGCTGGATGATGAGCTAGTGCAAACACTGCAAAAGCAGTGCATTTTACTGCTGGAAGGTAAGTAAAGAAAGGTCTGTTGTCACAATGTCTTTGGCCTGTGACCCTGAGCTCCCCTCTCTAATGGAGCACAGGTATAGGAACATTTATGACATTAAAATGCAGTGAAGATTCCCATGATTAGCAAACATGCATGAGATCCTAGGGCTCAAGTCCAGGCTGGCAAATGGAAGCATACAGATAAATAACTGCCTGGCTTGTCTTCTTACAGGAGGCCCCTTCAGTGGCCTAGGAGAAGTCATCCACCGAGAAAGTGTTCCCATGCATACCTTTGCAAAGTATTTGTTCTCAGCTCTGCTGCCCCATGATCCAGACCTGTCCTATAAATTAGCCTTACGTGCCATAAGGTGGGTAGCACTTTTCCAGTCCATTTGCCTGCACCAAAGCAGAAGTCTCCAATGCTCTTTTTCTTTGCTTATCCCACTTTCCTCTCTTTCCCTCTTTGTCTATTCTGTTGGACCTGCCATCAAGCCTGCCTTAAAATAGCTCAGATATTTTTATATGATCTAGGATTCATATCTGGGGTTCCTTGTTGGTGACCCACTTGGCTCCCTGGCAGTACTCATAGTTGATTGACTGAAGAAGCCCCTGAAATACAAATAGATATGGAGTATTCAAGACCTGAGTCTTCTGTTCCGAGGTCAACAGGCAGCCTGAGAAGGAGTTTGAGCCCTTCTGTAACTCAACTGAGTCATGGTTCCCAGGCATAGTTTCCAGAAAAATCTAGAGGAAGTAGAGATAAATATATTTACCCCAAGACTTGAGAACAATGAGCTATAGGCATCTGGTTTCCAAACTAGAATAGGAACCTTGATTTAGGCAGTTAGACCTCTGGGATGCAGCAGATCATATAGAAGGATTCATCAGTTAGACCATAGGTAGGGAGAACTCCTCAGTTAAAACAGAAAATTCCTTGGCATGTATTTCTTATACTTTAAAAAATAACCCTATGACTCTTTTTTTAAAATTCATTTTTCTCTCTTTTTACAATAAATCATGGTGTCCAGCCCTATGGCTTTGAACTGCCTTTCAAATCCATTTGCAGCGGGAACTATTCAGCTTGTTCTCCTAGTACCCAGACACTCGCCCCAAATATAGTATAGTACTATAGGTTTTAAAATCTTCAAAGCTCTACGTTAATCCTTTCCTCTCCCCAGTTCCTCCTTAGAAAGAGCAAGCTTCTCTAAGGTGGCTCAGAAGGCCAGGGTCTGGATGGTGGCTTATGACTCTTCCTGGGTCTTCTAGGTTACCTGTTCTAGAAAACTCAGCTTCTGCAGGCGACACTTCCCACCCTCACCATATGGTGTCTGTGGTGCCCAGCCGTTATCCTCGCTGGTTCACACTTGGACACTTGGAATCACAGCAGTGTGAACTGGCCTCCACCATGCTGACTGCTGCCAAAGGTGAGCATAGATAGACCTTAGGCTCCAGCATCCCCACTGTGCCTACCCAGCCATGGCCTGTCAAAGGCTTGGCCTGCCGTTTCTTGAAGAAGAGAAGCTATTTATTCTTCTTTGACCATTTAGGATAATAGGGATTCTCATTTTGATTGCTGCCATTAGTAAGAGCAACTGGGTCCCAGTCAAAACTTTGCCCTAATTATTAACTATAGGACCATGAGTATATAGAATTAAATGATTTTAAGTTGACTTCTAAGTCTAACTTTCCATATGATAAATTCACTTCATCTTTCTAAGCCTCACTTTCAAGAATCTATAAAATGGGGATTTTTGTCAATGACCTGTTAGCCTACCAGGGCCAATGGAAGATCTAATGAAGTAATCACTAAGATAGAGCTAAACTCCTTACAGCAGGGGTCCTCAACCCCAGAGCCACTGACTGATTACAGTCCATGGCCTGTTAGGAACTGGGCCACACAGCAGGAGGTGAGCAGCAGGTGAGCAGAGCTCCATCTTCTGTCAAATCAGTGGGGACATTAGATTCTTCCAAGAGCACAAACGCTATTGTAAATTGCACATACGAATCTAATGCCCAGTGATTCCCCCCATCCATGGAAAAATTGTCTTCTGTGAAACCAGTCTCTGATCCCAAAAAGGTTGGGGACACTGCCTTAGAGGTATGAGAATTTGTGGTTTTTCTAGTGCCTTACTAAAAACAGGCAGTCCAGAATGACTCTCAGGCCTTTAAACTGACATACTCCCTGTTAACTATACAGGCTTCACCACAAAGATAAGTGAAAATAAGCCCCTATATGAAAAGCTGTAATAAAATTCTAGCTACCATGGACTCTTGAGTATTTTGTACCAAGAAACTATATTGGTTTTTTTAAAGCTTTTTAAAATTAAAAATAACTTTGTGTTGTATCTTCTCTTTGTCAAACAAACTCACCTCACTACAGAAAAGGTAACAGATATAGATAAATCAATATAAAAATGATCAGCAAACCAGTATAAAAATTGAACAAAAGATGGTCAGACAGTTCACAGAAAAGGAGATACAAATGACTCTTAGAAAATTAAAATGCCTTGTATCACATGAGAAATACATATTAAAATTACCCTGAGATAACATTTTTTACAAATCTTATTGGCAAAAATCAACAAATTTGATAATAGCATCCATGTAAGGGGTCGGGAGTGGTGGTATCCCAGCACAGAGTATCAGATTCTAAGCAGGATAAAGAAGGTGACTGCAGATCCAAAGAACTCAGTAAACCTCAAGCATAAGCAACATGAAGAAAACTATACCAAGGCATACCATAATCAAATGCTTAAAGCCAATAATAGAAGACAAAATCTTACTTGAAACCAAGTAAAAAAGATACATTTTGGATAAAGGGCAAAAGTATGAGAGCAGATTTCTCATTACAAGCCAGAAGGAAAAAAATCTTCAAAAGTACTTCAAAAAAACTATCAACCTAGAATTCTATACCAATGAAAATATCTTCCAAAAACTAAGATGAGGCCAGGCGCAGTGGCTCACGCCTGTAATCCCTAGCACTTTGGGACGCCAAGGTGAGAGGATTGCAAAAAAAATCAAAAAATTAGCTAGGCATAGTGGTGTGCATATAGACTCCCAATATACTTGGAGGCTGAGGCAGAAAGCTAGCCTGAGCCCAGGAACTCAAGGCTGCAGTGAGCCATGATCATACCACTACAATCCAGCCTAGGCGACAGAATGAGACTCCAACTCAGAAAAGAAAAAAAAAAAAAGAAATATAAACCTTTTTCAGACAGTAATCGAATTGAAAATCAATACTAAAAAGATAACTGGAAATTCCCTCAAATTTTTGGAAATGAAACCACATACTTTTATATGACTTATTCATGGGCCAAAGGAAAAAAAATTACAAGAATATTAGAATATGTTTTGAACTGAATGAAAATGAAAGCACAAACCAAAACTTGTGGAATGTTGCTTAAGTTTTACTTGGAAATTTTTAGCAATAAATACCTACATTTGAAAGAAGAAAAGTTGAAAGGTTTCAAATTAGTGAAAGAAAGACAAATTAAGGCCAGGCTTGGTAGCTCAGCCTGTAATCCCAGCACTTTGGGAGGCCGAGGTGAGTGGATTGCCTGAGCCCACAGGTTTGAGACCCACCTGGGCAACTTGGAGAGACCTCATCTCAACAATAAAATCAAAAATTAGCCGGGTGTGCTAGCACGCGCCTGTAGTTCCAGCTACTTGGAAGGCTGAGGTGGAAGGATCGCCGGAGCCCAGCAGCTCGAGGCTGCGGTGGCCGGGAGCAGCCACTGCACTCCAGTCTGGGCAACAGAGTGAAACTCCAACTCAAAAAAAACCAGAAAGACAAATTAAACCCAAGGTAAGAAGAAGAAAGAAAATAAATATTAGAGCAGAAATCACTAAAACCAAAAACTAGTTCTTTTTTAAAAAGATCAAAGCCGGGCTCGGTGGCTCAGCCTGTAATCCCGTGCCTTTGGGAGGCTGAGGTGAGTGGATTGCCTGAGCCCACGGGTTCGAGATATGCCTGGGCATCGAGACCTCATCTCTACAATAAATCAAAAAATCAGCCGGGCGTGGTAGTGCATGCCTGTAATTCCGGCTACTTGGAAGGCTGAGGCGGAAGGATCGCCGGAGCCCAGCAGGTCAAGGCTGCGGTGGCCGGGAGTGGCCACTGCACTCCAGTCTGGACGACAGAGTGAGATTCCAACTCAAAAAAAAAAAAAAAGATCAAATTGAAATATTTGTCAAGATTGATCAAGAAAAAAAGAAATGAAAGATAAAAATGACCAGGATCAGTAAGGAGAAAGGTGACGTCATTATAAATCTAAAGACATTAAAATGATAATAGAGGAGTATTACTAAGAGCTTTATGTTAATATATTCAACAACATAAATGAAATGAACTAATTCCTTGAAAGACGCAAACTACCAAAGATCACTTAAGAATAAATAAAAGTGAACTAGGTATATCCCCAAAATAATTGAAAACAAGGACTCAGAGAGTTACTTGTACACCCATGTTTATAGTAACATTATTTACTACAGCCAAAAGTAGGAAACAGCCTAAGTGTTATCAAAAGATGATGGAATAAACAAAGTGTGGTGTGTGTGTGTATATATGAGTATATATATTTATATATATACATATGAAAATTATTCAGCCATAAAAAGGTATGGAATTCTGATACATAGTAAAACATGGATGAACCTTGAGTACATGCCAAGTGAAATAAGTCAGATACAAAAGGATAAATATTGTATTATTCCACTTATATGAGATACCTAAAATAGTCACAGCCAAGTAACATCAGTGGAGTCTAAGCTAGTGGGTGAATATTTGAAGAGGAATGAAATAATTACATGGTGTCCAAATAGCTCTTCACAAAATTCTCATGGATCATAAAGGAAAACAGCATAATTTACCATACAGAAATCTAGCAGATATCATGTAACCACATTAAGTGGTCAGTGTTAATATAAATTCACAGAAACAAAGTAGAATGGAGTAAAACATAGAATAGAGGAGAAATTAATAAAGACAGAAGAATAGAGACTGGGAGAATGACGAGTTATTTAATGGGTAGAGTTTCCATTTGGGATGATAAAAAGTTCAGAAATATATAGTGGTAATGGTTGTGCAACATTGTGGATGTACTTGATGCCACAGACTCATACCCTTTGATAAATTTTTTTTGTTTGCTTTTTTTTTTTGAGTTAGAGTCTCACTCTGTCGCCCAGACTGGAGTGCAGTGGCCGCTCCCGGCCACCGCAGCCTCAACCTGCTGGACTCCGGCGATCCTTCCGGAAGCCTCAGCCTTCCAAGTAGCTGGAACTACAGGGGCGCGCTACCACGCCCGGCTCATTTTTGATTTATTGTAGAGATGAGGTCTTGCCAAGTTGCCCAGGTGGGTCTCGAACCCGCGGGCTCAGGCAATCCACTTACCTCAGGTTCCCAAGGCACAGGATTACAGGCTGAGCCACCAGATAAATTTTATGTTATATATATTTTACCACAATAAATCATTTTCAAAGAAATTGAAGTAGCTAAAAACTTTACCATAAAAAAAAATGCAACTCTAGATGGCTTCACTAATAAATTCTACCAGACATTTAAGGAAAATGTAACAACAGTGCTGCACAAACTTCCAAAAGAATGAAAAGGAGGAAATGTTTCCCAGCTCAGTCTATGAGGCTAGCATTACTCTGATGCCAAAACCAGACAGAAGTCATTAGAAGAGCTACAGAATAATATCCCTGATGAGTATAGGTGCAAAAATTCTAAATAAAAACTTTAACAGATTGAATTTGAGAAAATAGAAAAAGAATAATATACAATGATCAAGTAGTATTTATCCCAGGAATGTGAGGTTGGTTTAGCATTCAAAAAAATCAGTCCTATAATTCACCATATTAATTGGGGAAAAAAAGAAATCCACATGATCATCTCAATACAGAAAAAGAATTTTATAAAATACAACATCCATTTCTAGTAAAAATAACAAGAACTCTTACCAAACTTGGAATAAACAGGAACTTCCTCAATGTGGTGAAGGGTGCCTGCAGTATATCTGCAACTAACCATATACTTCATGATGAAAGACTGAATACTTTCCTCCTAAGATCAGAAACAAGGCAAAGATGTTTGCTTTCATCACTTTTATCAGCATCATATTATTGGTTGTTGCCAGTGCAATAAGACAATGAAAAAAATAAAAGGGCAACAAAAAACAAAAATAGATAAGTGAGACTAAATCAACTTAAAATTTCCTGCATAGCAAAGGAAACACTCAATAGAGTGGAAAGGAAAACTGCAGAATGGGAGAAAATATTTGTAAACCATATAAGGGGTTAATTTTCAAAATATATAAGGAACTCCTACAACTCAATAGCAGAAAACAAATACTAATAACCTGATTTTAAAATAGGCTAATAACTTGAGTAGACATTTCTCCAAAGAAGATACACAGATGGCCAACAGGTATATGATGCTCAACGTCACTAATCATCAGAGAAATGCAAATCAATGAGATATCAACTCACTCCTGTCAGGATGGCTATTTTCAAAAAAAGAGAGAAAAAGGATAAAATATTGGTGAGGTTGTGGAGAAATTGGAATTTTTGTACACTGCTGGTGGGAACGCAAAATGGTACCACCACTATGGAAGGCATTATGAAGGTTTCTCAAGATACTAAAATAAGAACTACCATAGGATCTAGCAATCCCACTTCTAGGTATTTATACAGAAGAATTGAAATCAAGATCTCAAAGCGATATTAGCACTCATATGTTCATTGCAGCACTATTCACAATAACCAAGATGTGGAAACAACCTAAAAGTTTATCAGTGAATTAATGACTTCTTTTAATGTGGCATATGCATAAAATAGAATACTAGCCAGCCTTTTAAAAAAAGGAATTTTGCAATATGTAACAACATGGGTGAACCTTAAAGATGTTATGGTAATTGAAATAAGCCAATCACAGAAAGAAAAATAATGCATGATTCCATTTATATGAGATATCTAAAATAATCACAGCCATAGAACCAAAGAGTGGAATGGTAGTTGTCAGGGACTAGGAGAGGGAGAAAAGGGAAATTACAAATCAATAGGTAAAGTTGTAATCAGGCAAGACACATAAGCTCTAGATATCTGTACCTAGAGTCAACAGTAATGTATTGCACACTGGAAAATTTGTTGAAGGTAGATCTCATGGCTAGTGTTCTTACCACAATAACATTTAAAAAGAATTTTTTTTAAGTCAAGAAGAAACAGACTTTCTCAGAGAAAAAAAGAAAAAATAATTTGCTGCTGGTAGACCTGCCTTGCAAGAAATGTTAAAAGAAGTCCTTCAGCCAGGCTCGGTGGCTCAGCCTGTAATCCTGCGCCATGGGAGGCTGAGGTAAGTGGATTGCCTGAGCCCGCGGGTTCGAGACCCGCCTGGGCAACTTGGCGAGACCTCATCTCCACAATAAATAAAAAAATTAGCTGGGCGTGGTAGCGCGTGCCTGTAGTTCCAGCTACTTGGAAGGCTGAGGGGGGAGGATCGCTAGAGCCCAGCAGGTCGAGGTTGCAGTGGCTGGGAGCGCCCACTGCACTCCAGTCTAGGTGACAGAGTGAGACTCCAAATCAAAAAAAAAAAAAAAAAAAAGTCCTTCAGAGAGAAGGAAAATTATAAATGTTTAGAAACTTGGGTTCACATGAAGAAAAAAAAAGAGCATTAGAGAGGAATAAATGAAATTAAAATGAAACCTTTAGTTTTTTGTATTATTAATTGATCTGACAGATAACTGTTAATAATAGCAGTACAATTGAACCTTGAGCAATGCAGGGGTTAGAGACACTGACTTATATAGTTGAAAATTCACATGTAACTTTTGGCTCCCCAAAAATTTAACTACTAATAGTCTATTTTTTACCAAAAACCATATCAATAACATAAGCAATCAAGTAACACATACTTTATATGTTGTATGTATTACATATTGCATTCTTATAATAATTAAGCTAGAGGAAAGAAAATGTTTTTAAGAAAATCATAAAGAAGAGAAAATACATTTACTCTTCATTAAGTGGAAGTGGATCATCATAAAGGTCGTCATTCTCATCTTTGTGTTGAGGAGGCAGACAGGAGGAGGAAAAGGAGCGGTTGGTGTTGCTGTCTCAGGGTGACAGATGTGGGAAAAAATTTGCATATAATTGAACCCATGCAGTTCAAACCCTTGTTGTTCAAGGGTCAACTATATATTGAATGATCATAGCTTCAAAATAAGTTAAATGAATGACATCAATTAGTAACTGTCGGGAGGGAAAAAGAACTGAGAATATTTCTTTTTTTTTTTTTTTTTTT